TTCCTTTATAACCCTACATTATCCGCCTTTAGCTTAGCGATGGAGACGTGAAGTCATGTGACCGAGCTGTAGTTCCTTATAGTCTAACGTTTGTTTTCACAGAGTTTCTTTTCACAGAGTTTCTTTTCTGGAATAATCAAATCACATTGTGTTTTTGTAAAGGGAACCAGGGAGATGCTGCCTTCAGGGTCAGCCTACAAAAACACATCATCACTGCACCACTCTATAAATGCCTTCCTGAATGAACTTCGGCTATAGGCTTAATTTGCATGTTGTATATGAGGAACGGAAGAAAAATCACGGTTCTGTAAGGTCACATAAAAGATTATTCTTGACTCCCGTCGTGCAGAACAGAAGAGAATGTAAGACTGTAATTACCTGCAAGCAATACACAGAAAACAGTGTGACGCTACCTCTGCTGAGAGACAAAACACATAACACTGAGGGAAGGCAAGTATGTGAAGTATACCAGCTTCAAAAAGTTGATTTTGCTTTATTTTTTCAATTGCTTTTGATACTTCAGGCCATTTTTTGCTTAGTTGATCTAGAACATTGGCATTTTCCAGTAAATTCTGCAAATATATTGGGTTATTTAAGTCCTTTCTCGTGAAACATTTAAATTATTTGTACCTGCACCTCCTCCTCCTCCTCCTCCTCTTCCTCCTCCTCCTGCTTAATATACAGCCGTTTTTTGGCAAACAAAAAAAGCTGGATGCATATTGTATAAAATATAGCAGCACAGATTTCTCTGTAAGAGCTGGAAAGGCATCAGTCCAGCAATCAGCGGGTCAGAAGCCAACAGAGAGCACAGATACAACAATTTTAAAGGTTGTACTTTTTCTACTGTGCTAATCGTTCTAAAGATGATTGCTATTCAACAGATTTAAATATGTATGCTCTGTTAAAAAGCATTGAAAGTATTTTGCATCTATGACCATGAACTCTGTGCAGAATCAAAGTATCATTGTACTTCTTTATATATAAACTGATTGTTGGAAAAGCTAATAACTGATAGCACGATGTTCTGCTAAGGTTCTAGACGAGTCCTTCCAACTATGCTAATCTTTCTAAAAAGGATTACTAATCAATCAGGTCTGTTAACATTAGCTCGGTGCAGAATAAAATTGTGATTTGTGGATTTCTTGGGATAGCTAACAACTGATAGCACGATGTTCGGCTAAAGTTTGAGTCTGAGTCCTTGCAGTGATTAAAACTATGCTAATCGCTTGCATTTAAAAATATTTTAATATTAATGCTCTATTGAAAAGCATTAGCGACATTTTGCATCTATGATCATCAACGTTTTGTACTCCTTTCTATAGATGTAGATTGTTGTGAGAGATAACGACCAATAGCACGATGCTCTGCTCATCATTGAGTCTTCTGGTCTTTGCTGTGATTGCACGATGTTCAGATGAACTGTTCTGCTCTGTTGAGGAGCATTTACAGTGTTTCAGGTCTGTCAACATGTACTCTGTTCAGGATCTAAGCATTATTGTACTCCTTTCTATAGATGTAGTTTCTTGGAAGAGCTAATAGATGTTCTGCTAAAGTCCTCGCTGTGGTTCTGTATCGCACACTTGCCTATCGCTCCGGTGTAAAAAGATCTAAGAGCGTGTCGTCTTTTAAGTTGCTTAGTTTGGAGAGATGGCAGAAAACTCCCTCCACTCAATTAGTCCTCTCCAACTCCATGCTCTGCTCATGCAGCCCTTCATCTCCTGCTAGACCCTTTGAAGGCTGTGCAGTCATGTTGGGTGTTCCTGATTGATTCTAGCAGACCAGCCGAGCTGCTAAAGTACTGAAAGTAGGTAGATGTCACGGTGAAGACACATTTTAAACGAGACGGGCTTCGTGCGCCGCTGACGAGCCAACGGAGGATGATAATTGATTGAACGGGAGGAAGGAGGAAGTCGAAGGCGAGACGTCAGACTGCAGATGGTCTGGAGAGAGAAAGAGTAGCTCTGATGACAGACACCATGATGAGAAAGGTTTTTGAAAGGGGAAGTAAAGAAAGTCCAGGAGATCGGCTGATAGCCCCGGAGATTTTAATGGCTAAATAGAACAAGAGAGTGATGGATGGCTCTACTCATTCCCATCTGATTGGAGATGGAAAGCTGTCATGTACTTGATAAGCAAGTTTTTTCCAACTTCATCCATGGACGTATTTTGAGAGACGAGGACAAATAGGATGGGATCAAGCGGCTGAGGAACCAATCACGTTTTGATAGAGCTCTGGGTGACACTTGAAAAGACCTTTCTCCGAGGGCTTTCATATCCGTTTTTATAAAAGGTGGAACTTCATCTCAGATCAGGTCAGCGGCACTTTGACAGGTGGCTGTTATTATCAGCCATCTGCCCCCATAATCTCTCAGACAGAACTTTCAAACAAACTTTAGAGGAGATTAAACGTGACCACATTTCATTTTTTCGAAAGGAGCACACATATGCGCTGTTACGTGCCGTGGTATGTTTTTGGCTGCGGTCGAATTGTCAGTTTAGTCACAGTATTAGAGTGAAATGACCCGGAAGTACCCAATTGGCAGCCATGATAAGAGCTGTTCGAATTCTGTAGAGTGTTAAATCATCTGCAAACATAGAAACAAATGATTCTTCCTGCTCTAGACGATAGGAAAGGAGCTTTGAAACTTCCTTTATAACCTACTTTAGCTTGGGTGACACGAATAAGTTTCACTTATTTTTTATTCCAATTCCAACCTTGGTCATGAAGAATATATGTTTCACTTTTGTCCATGTTCATAAAGCATAAAACAACAGCATAAAAGCGCACGGTGAAAAGTATCTAGATGCATTTATAGTAGTCCGTTGTTCTTTTTATACATCCATGTAGCTCGCTGTATAAAAAACCTTAAATGTGTACAAAACACATTTAAGGCGTCCGCTGGCGCATCATTAATACGTTGATAGTGTAAGAACAGTCGGATTCTCAAAGCACCGCAGTCTCTTTTCCTAAGTCCTTTTGAATTCTCCTATCCACTATTCCTTAACCCCGTGACGTTTCACACAGAGGTTAAGGAATAGTGGATAGGCCACCGTTTAGTAACACATATTTTATATTGATAGGTCCATAACATGTCCTTCAGTGAAGACAGATGTGAGTTAGTGAACTTCATTCATTCCTCTGTGATTTTCCACTGTGTGTTTTGGGAGCATTTTGCCCGCTGCTTCAGTTAAGCCTGTACAAATTATATTGGTGATTGTTATTTTTACAGCAACAAATGATTTCAAACTAATTCTGCACACTGAAATCCTCCTGCTTTGGCCTCGTATTTAGAAACGACAAACGTGCATTTTATTCCAGTCAGGTAATATTATATTTGTTCTTGCTATGAACCCTCCTTGGTTAACTTCTAGAAATGAACCTGTAGTTCAATTCGCTTCATTACTTCCTTTGAATATTTATGAATGACTATTGATAATTAGATCTTCATTCCCTGTCGGTGGTATGGAAATAAGCTCATAAATAGATCAAATGAAAGGTTATTCACTGCTCTCTATTATCATTACAGCCAAATATCAGGCTGTATGAATGTGAGAGAGAGCTACACTGCAACCCAGCTCTTTTATGTTATGTTCAGTTGAAATTCGTGTTTATTCTCTAGCTAAATGTTTGTCTTTTTGTGCTTTAAATACCTACGTTTATAGAGCCACATGTTTATTTCTTGTTATCTGATCAAGTAAATACAATTGTGCCTTGCTTTAATGTATATGCAGAAATAATGAACTGTGAATGTGACAGAGAAGAATTTACACTTTACATTAAAGATCATTTTTCTGTTGATTGGTGGTAAAAGTCCTTTTATTGAATCAACCACCATTTATCTTCCCGTAATTTCTCTACACCGATCTAATGACTATGGATTTAGTGACATTTTATTGACATTATCGTACTTTTTTGTGTTATTTATCTCAAGCTGTAATAGAAAAGAGAATGACCATGTGTATGGGAGCCCATGATAGCTGACATCACTATGTAACACTCGCGCTTCTATTGGCTAGCGCTCCAACACATTGTACGTGATAGGCTAATTAGGGGCGGGACATCTCTAAGCAATTGACCAATCACAACAGAGCCGGCCAGCTAACCGATCAGAGCAGACTGGGCTCTGGTTTCAGACAGAGGGTGAAAAGAGGTGCTGCAGCACAGGCAGTATGAGAAAAATAAAGATCTTTTTGAACATTAAAGCATGGAGACATGTCACAGTAACATGTCATGGGTCAACAGGGGTAGTACAATCTTTAACTGTTCATGTTAATTAAGTATAATATAAACTTATGACAATAATTAAAACCCATTCCTAAGCGTTTTAAAAGGATGTTAAACAAAATACTTTCTTACAAGTCAGTCTAGTCAAGCATATATCCCATAGTTTAAGTAAATTATAATATTTCCAATAGTCCTTTATAATAATTGTAAAAATGAAAGATAATTGAATCTCTTATTTTAATGGTTTAATGTTCACATCTCGCACATTGCCAGTGTAGGGCTTCCGTAGGTGATTCTTGCTTTTTTATGCACTTAACTATCAATGTAATGTCCCTATCATTCTTTATTTAGATATTTCTTGTTTCCATGTGTATCCTCTTCTGATGCCACTGGTGCAGTCTAGTCAAGCATAAATCCCATAGTTTAAGTACATCTTTCAATAGTCCTTTATATTTATTGTAAAAAAGACAGACCACAACACAACACATTAAACCTCTTATTATAATGGTTTAATGGTCACATCTCGCACATCGCCAGTGTAGGGCTTCCGTAGTTATGGTGATTCTTGCTTTTTTTATGCACTTAACTGTCAATATAATATCCCTATCATTTATTTTTTATTTGATTTGGATATTTCTTGTTTCCATGTGTATCCTCTCCTGATCGCCCCTCTCTCTCTGTAGCTCTGTGGCTCACCCTCTCTCCCGCGGTGGAGCCTGCGGTGTCTGCAGGTGTCAGAGTGACTGTAGCCGGTAGGAGGGACTTGATGCTCCAACTTCTCATTTGGTTTCTCTCTCTGCGCTCCAGCCAGTCGTCCTGGTCCTGCTTGGAGAGACACGACGGCATCAGCAGCACGGATTCCGGGGGAAGCACCATGCGTCTGCGGCTGAAAGGAGGACCACCGGAGCCTCGCGTTATTATGTCCCTTTCTTATTTTTGAGTTTTTTTTTTTTTTACCAAATCTCTGACGCGCAAGGACACTACAGCATCCATCCTTACCGGCAGAAACGCTCACATAGAGCCTCCTCTGTACGCACCATCCTCCTCATTCCTCCCTTCCTCCCACTCTCCTCTCTCCTCTCTCCTGTTTCTGTTCTAACTCAGAGGACATCGGGACCTCTTCTCCCCCCTTTCAACCCGGAGACATGGATCTATGGTTTCACTCGATCCGGATTTGCTGGTGGAGGGTTTTGTTCCTGATGAGTGTTTTCCAGGACTATCTGAGCTCCATGCTGGACTGCCCGCCGACCTGCAGCTGCTCTCAAATAGAGATCTATTGCAATAAGTCCGACAACGGCAGGTTTTTCCCTTTACTGGCCCTGCAAGAAACTGGGAACAATGGGACCAGTATTGACATAGCAGAGTTATTCAAAAACATCACCACTATGTAAGTAGATGCGGATTATGCCGTGCGTTTTTTTGTTTGAATCATTAATTGATGATGTGCTTTCAGGGTGTCTGCTGCTTCCTCTGCACTTGTTGGCTGATTATTTCTTATTCTGAGAGTTTTTGGACTTCTATCAATGTGTTGAGTGGCCTTTTTACATGATAAAACCATGTATAATAATCGGTGTTGCATGGAGGTTAATGCGTTTATTTGCACACATCCTGCAAAGATTCTCAGCCGAGGCGACTTGATCTTGAACCTTTTTGTAGTGGATTGTGTGTGTGTGTGTGTGTGTGTGTGTGTGTGTGTGTGTGTGTGTGTGTGTGTGTGTGTGTGTGTGTGTGTCCTCATAAAGTTGCTCCTCCGCAGCGGCTCCGCAGGCCTGAAATGACAGAAGGATGTTGCGGAGAAACCTCACATCACCCATTCACCCCGCAACTGCTCCGACAGATTGGGCTAAATGAAACAGAAATAAATGGCGCAGTAAGGTCAAAACAGTTCTGTACCCAGCATCCTTTGGGGAAAGCGATGCGACCCTACAAACTTTATTATTTGCAGATGATGCGTAGCTCCTATAGGGGGAGGAAGGGGGGCGTTAAATAACGTCCCTTGTAGCCCCCCATGGACACTTGTGTTTCATAAAGCTTAGGATCCATGATTTAAGGCTCTCCAAACCCCTCCTTTGGAAGCAGCCTAAATTTCCATCCTGCCTCCTCCCTCCTCCTCCCCTCTTTCTCTCCCTGGCATCGATCCTTCCTGCCAACATCAAAGCTTTCTTTCTTGAAAAGTCAGGGGGAAAAAGGAGGCCTTAAAATAAGACCTCTGGTGTCTGATTTGCATATAAAGTAAACATCTCGCACTGGAAGGATTTCCCAACACGGCGTCGCCATACGCCACAAAGGACTTTTCCTCCCATCGGTTTTCAGTATCCCGTTTACCCCTTTTATCCTTTTGAGGCATACAACAACTTATTTAGGGACACGGTTCATCGCTTCCCCGTGCCACTAGAGGGTAGCCTGGTACCCTCCTATACACCGCCAACCAGGGCTCTTTAAACCACAACACTGGAGTCATTTATGGGAGTGTTTTATCAGAGTTTTCAGTCAAATCAGGGCTCCGGAATAAGCGTCAGTTCAAAGCTCAGCCACAAAAGAGGCAGAGGATGGTAAAGAGATGAAAGGTCAGAGGTCACAGTGCCATATCAGTGATTAGCCTGACCCTACGCTGACCCTAGGATAAAGATTTCCCCATTGTAAATCCTCCCAGCCATTTATCCTCTCTCTCTCAGCCGGATTTAAACTGCCTCCTGCAAAATGCCCAAATGTAATAAGCACAAAGCCACTCATTGATTGCCTTTTTGTCTTTGAGAAACCCCTGATGCATTGACCCAGGAATAATTGTGCGTTTTATGGCCCCTCGCCAACAGGCCGCTTGTTTTCTTGCTGCTCAGCATGGACAGCAACCTCCACCCACCGGCAGCTCAATGACAGCTTATCAGAGACAAAGCTCCCAATGTCACATCAGCTCACACATCTGAGGGAGATTCATTCAAAACACACTCACACATGCATCGTCACAGTTAAATATACATGTGTTGCTCTAAGTATGCTAATTATGTGATTGAAACATGCTACACACGATAATAGCTACAAACCACATGCATATCTATAAATATGAACGTGCTAATTGAAACATTAATTAACTAATAGCAGTTAAATGCTTTGTGGTTATTTATTATCTGGCCAGAAAACATGCCTTTGAAACACAATAAGCAGTAACCATAGTAATACTGAGCAGTCTGAGCGAGGCCAGTACAAATTGTCCTCTCTTTGTGAGGTGTTAGATGCGAGAGTTTTGCTAACAGGAGGTCTGTTTGCTCATCACAGGGGGAAACAGGGAGAGATGGGTACAATTTATGGAGATGGGGAACAAGAGCGAGGGGAAACTGTGGGACGATTGGCCAGCCAAAGAAAAACTGCCAAGTCCAGATAATAGTTTTCCAGTTCTCTCGCATTAGAGATTCATCACAAGAGGCATCGCTGTTTGAAGCGGATAAGATAAGGCCTTGCTGTGATACTCGGAGAAAAGCAGCTGAAGCATTTGACAGGTTTGTGTAAGTGCAGCTCTGACTGCAGGTGTGCTTTCCCTGCAGAAACCAATCAGAGAGTCACCTCCAGTGATGACGTCTGGCCTCATTCTTTATAAGGAGAGGCTAGAGAATCAGACCAATCTGTACAAGTCCTCACTGTATCATCAACTACATACCTTCTGCCTTCCTCCTCTACTTTCCTTTTAAGTGCATCCTTTAACTCCTATTTGTGTTCAACAACATGCATGTGGCAATCTGAAAATGAGCGATTACATCCATTTGTGAGAGAGACTAAAAGGTACATCTTTGATTAGGTAATAAGGGTTATAGTCAATCTAAACCTGTGCTTTTGAATGGTCATATAATGTAATATCTCTATAATTTAAATCCTATAGGAACTAGTCTGTACTCAAGTAGTTCATTAACTTAGAAAAAATTAAACCAATTTTCATCTAAGATCAGGACATCTTAACACTAAATATGTGATTTTAGGATATTTTGGTTAAAAAATAATGTAGATTTTAGTGATAATAATATGGTTTGATGTACCGCACATGCCAGTGGACGATACAGAATATCAGAAGGAAGTGTTATAATTATAATTATTCGGCACACTTATAATCAGATCTGGCAAAAATGTTTTCATTTTTGATATCACACTGTTGCAAAATATAATGGCACGACTTAAATACCGATCATGATTTTATGGTTTGTCAGTTATATTTAAAGACCCCCTCTAGACATGCCTTAAAACATATTAAAACACTGCTTTGAATAATAATTTGAGCCGTGATATTACAACATCATGCCCGTGTTAGCAGTATGTCCATTTTACTCCTACTATAAGAGGAGTAAAATGGACATTCCCATTCAAATAATCGTAGCAGGGTGGGCATACAGTGGTGGCGGCCATTTTCATGTGTACCAACTGCAAAGATTTCGGCATAAAACAACTTGTGTTAACTTCACACTGAGGTGAGGTTGTGCTCTAACGACTGAATGAAGCAGTGGAGTAACGCTATGAAATATTGAGATCCAGGGTCGATGGGTGGAATTAAAAAAGTAAATGCTTGATGCACATTGCTGTCGCCAGAGAGACAACTTTGTTTTGGTTATTCTCTGTATTCAGTGAAGTGTAAAAGCTCTAAAGACCCCAATGAAGTGTGTTGCAATATAACAACAAACAGCAATAGACCATTTTCTATAAATAACCCCGAATAACCCTACATTTTGGTTTCTATTTCTTCGATGAACACAGAGAATTGTTACCCTTTCAACACATAAATGAGAAAAAAATATGTCAAACTCTGCACAAATATCAGACCAGAGAATAGCACATGTTGTCTCAAAACCCAAAGCATCCCAACACCTCACAATCTCCCCAAACATTTAACAAACGTCTTTTAAACATCCTGTCATGAGGAAAGAGGCAATAAAAGTGTACATTTAACATCCATCAAGGCAAAGGACATCCACATCCCGTTCCTTTTGATATATTGTGATGCCACTTATCTGTATTTTATTATTTTTAATATTTAATTTAGCTTTGAAAGCCATTACAAGATTATGCTCTCTTTGAATGTGAATGTTAACATCAGATGTCCTCTATTTGCCTTTGAAATAGGAAATGTTCTTCCAAAGGCATCATAGTTTTGTCTCTGCGACTTTAATGCCAACTCTTCCTTCAATCAAAGAGATTTATGTGGACTTGTTAAAATGCCATCTGTTTATCTGCAAACAAACTGAGACTTCCACGCTGTGAAATGCTTCGGCGTTTATCTACTTTGCCAAATGCGGCTTGAAGTTTATCGTTTGATCTCTTTAAAATCTTGATTATCCAGTCAGTAAAATCTTGTGTCTTCTAATTTCCCAGGATTTAAGCTATCCTTTAAAACGCATCATAATGTTATCGTGATTAATCTTTTAGCTTCTGAAGGTGTCAATTTCAAATGATGTGAAAGTCACACTTTGGAATAAACGTGTTTTATTCCCGTAACATTGAACCAAAGGCAATCTTAAAAGGATAAAAAAGAGTAGTCTCCCGTGAAAAAGAAAGGAAAGAAGCTCAAATGTAAGATGCCATAGGATGGGATCATGAGGTACGGGTGATCTAGCAGGACAGGGAATGTGAGAAAAAGCAAATCAAAGCCGTCACATCCATCCATCCAACGCCTGCTTATTTCACAAGGCATCACTTTCTTCAACTGCCTCGATCTCTGGCTCAATGCCAGTCACTCTGCTGCCTTAAAGAAAGTTGTTGAAGAAGTTTTTCCTCTTTCTTTTCTTTTTTACATTTTAAAACAGCTCAGCCTCGCTCCAACATATCGATCTGTGGACACCTTCAAATACACATTTCATATGAAACCTGCCGGTTAGCTGAGGCTGCCAAAGAAATCTGTTTTACACAAGAATGTTTTCCAAAGTCCGCTTATAGGTCACTTGTGTGGGCTGCAAGTGTCCCGCGGTTCAGACGCTGAGCATTACTGCATTTATAAATCCAGCCTTTCCTCTCAAAACTGCAGCCCACATAATGTGTGACTGAGGCCAAGTGCATATTTATTGCATAAGTCTACTGAATGGAAAGATACCAGTACACTTCCTGTTAACTTTTTTATTTTCATTCAGTCCTTTTCTTTGCCTCGCTAACCCAACAAAGTAAAATGATATTTGAACATTAGGATCATTTAATTATACAGGCACTTATTCTGTAGTAGATACAACATTGCTGGAACTTACATTTCTCATAATGCAGTTTGTATTGTCTAACATAAGACGATCCCTGAATCTTTTTCATTCCCCACACCTTCAGTTTGTAACATGACGTTATGTTACTAATTTGGATTTCAACATAAGGGTTCATTTAAGTTAGCAGATATCTCTATCTGGTGCTACAGAAGAATTGAAACTGTCC